GATTAAAAGAGAACATTGTAAGGTAACAGGAGCCATCTTGGACAACTTTCAATTTCAGTAAAACATGTAAAAAAGGTGATAAATGACAATCTCACATTTTGTCTCCCTCAAGAGCACCCAAAACTTCAGACTGGAAGATAGTAACTCAATAAAAACCTTCTTTTTATTCTATTTTCATGCATGTCTTGTTTACATATTTCATTAGCGCCTATGTGCCTATCAACTCTAGTTCAAAGATTGTCTCCAAAAACATATGTCCTCAATGCATACATTTATACAAGAAGTTATTCTCTCATCTCCGGGAAAGGCCTTTTATGTAAACTTCCTTCCCAACATTAAAGATATATCTCCACAAACTTCCTAAGTATGTATCTTATCGGAAGGTTTCTAAAGCATCTGTCCCCTGAATATTAAGATGCACATTATCTCATTAGACTAATTACATATTGGCATTAATCATGAGATAGAAATCAAGCCATATTAATTCTATATACTGGGACACCAACTACCGTAGTCAAGTCAGGGCAAAGATCCAGAGAACGAAAGAGGAAAATTTAACCTCACAGATGCCTTATCAACCTGTTACCTTGTTTCTCAATAAATGACCATGTAGGTTCTTCTAGAACAATTTGGATGCCTATAAACAGGAGAGTGCTTTCATAAGGGAAGAAAGCAATAGTGTGGAAAAGTATTGGTTCTGCCACTCCCTCTCCAGATATCTGAAGCATCGAAGTGCTGAATTGGTTGCTATTAATGCCAATAAGAGGGTTATGTTATCATTCTGCAGCAGGAATTGCTGGTGACAGGATTCTATTTATATAAGAGAGAAAAGCAGAGTGTTCTTACTAACTGATGATGCATTTTCCCATTTCACAGAATTTTATGTCGGATCCAGGGGTGAAATGCTCCTGGTTTGGACCGGATCGCCCGATCCGGTAGCGATGACGGCGAGTGGTTCAGAGAACCAGTAGCAAAAATCCCTGCGCCCCCCCCCCCACCATGCCTAGCTGAGCCACACAATCATCAGAGGCTTTTTTTTTTTACTTTTAAAAGCATTTTTTCTACAACCTCTTCCGATGAAAAAATGCTTTTAAAAGCAAAAAAAAAGCCTCTGATGATCGCGCGGCTCAACTGGGATCATCAGAGGCTTTTCAAAGCATTTTTTTCTGCAACCTCTTAGACGAAGAGGTGGTAAACTGAGTTCCCTGATCGGCAGAGAGGCTTTTCAAAGCATCAGAAAAAATGCTTTGAAAAGTCTTTAAAAAAAAAAGTTGGCCACGCCCACCCAGTCACATTACCTCCCCCACCAAGCCATGCCCACAGAACCGGTAGTAACAAATTTTACATTTCACCCCTGGTTGGGTCCTATACTAAACAAATGAAGGAAAATAAACACGTCCCAGAATAATGTTGCAGGATGCAATCTGGGTTGGTCATTGGGACCAGAGGTTTCTTCTGGTCCCAATGACCAGAAATCTTCTTCCGAAATCTTCTGAGCTTTCAGATTCGTGCTGGAGCCCAATGGAAGGTATGATTTAGGCCAGCATTGGCTAACCTTTTTGCCATCACGAGGGGGGGGGTTCGTACGGGGGGAGGTCACATGCATGCCCACACCCATAATTTTATGTGCCCCCCCCCCGCACATGCACGCACAACCCCCCCCCTCACTCCTGGCACACGATGGCCCAGTTGGCCCGTTTTCCTCTCTCCCCAGGCTCCAGAGCCTTTCTAGGAGTCTGGGGAGGGCAAAAACAGCCTTCCCCACCCCACACTCTGGAGGCCCTCCAGAGGCTTCCAGTCCCACTGGAAGTTGGTCCATTTGCCAACTTCCGGTAGGAATGGAAGGCCTTTTTTTTGCTCTCCCCAGACTCCAGAGCCTTTCTAGGAACCTGGGGAGGGCAAAAATGGCCTCCCCCCCCGGAGGCTGCAAATGGGCTGTTTCCGGCCTCCGGAGGGCCTCCAGGGGGGTGGGGAAGGCCGTTTTCACCCTTCTCAGACTCCTAGAAAGGCTCTGGAGCCTGGGGAGAAAGAAAAACGGGCCTCCCCCCACCCCGAGGCCCTCTGGAGGCAGGAAACAGCCTGTTTCCCTACATCTGGTGGGCCCAAAAGGCCCGAAAATCAGTGTGCGCGCTGGAGCTGAGCTTGTGTGCCCACCGATATGACTACACGTGCCACCTGTGTCACGCGTGCCGTAAATTCGCCATCACGGCTTTAGGCTATTCTACGCATAGTGTTTATGTGGTGCCTGGTTGTGCGTGGCTTTTACAGCCAACAAGTCGGCTATCAACACCCCAATCAACAAATAAAACACCACATGCAGCCAGGCACCACATAAATACTATGCATAGAATAGCCCAAAGCACATATTCCATTAAAGAGAAGTTCCCCAAGGATGGACTCCAGCACAAGTCTGAAAGCTCAGAAGACTCCCAGTGACCAGCCTAGATTGGATCCTGCAGGGGTGTCAAACACAAGGCCTGCAGGGCCACCCTGGAAAATGTAAGGGGCCAGCCAGCATCACTTCGGCCCAGTCTACCCAATGCGAAGAGGAAACATGCCAGCAGTTTGGGGAATGGCGTCAAGCTGGCCACACCCACCCAGGTGTGTATGGCCACATCTGGCCTACCCTGTTGGCCATACCCAGTGAATGCCATTAAGCTGGCCACACCCTCCCACTTGGTCACACCCACCCAGTTGACCCCGCCCCTCCCGAGGTCAACCACAGCCCTGATGCAGCCCTCAATGAAATTGAGTTTGACATCCTTGCTATACTAAATACTTTAGACTAGAAAGCTCTATATGAATCTGCCTAGTCCATGTGAATGTATAGGAAGACTTCAAACCCTATAAGAAATCAGAAGGACGTGGACTCAAAAGCCAGGAGTTGGGTGACCATATACATTATCTAAATAAATAAATAAAAGCAATTCTTCTCTGCTATGGCTTATATTATACCACTATGGAAATCCTTGCCTGCAAAGGCTGCTTCGTCCAGCTCTCTATAGATCTTGCACAAAGCTCCATTGATCTACCAGATTGTTGTCTGACAACTGATTTTTTTCCCCCTAGCTGCTTGATAGTACTGCTGTATTGTATGGCGACTGACTACCATTTTATTCTTGTTTGGGCTGGATTCTATTTTTGAGTCATTTACATTTTAACCCTATGTTGGGAATGCCCAGAAATCTGGAAACTGAGCAATATATGAATATCTATAAATAAATCACCAGAACTTCAAGCCAGCAGTCAATGGATATAATAGCTAAGAATTCTGGAATTTGCAGCATCACGCATCTGGAGGAGTGAAGAAAGCTGCTTTAACTGTTGCTATGCTATGGTTTAGTTTATTGCATTCAAATCTTATCAATCAATTCAAATAGTCTCAAAGTTATCTAATATCGGTAGGTTCACATACACCATTTGTTTATTTATTCATTCATTCATTCATTCATTCATTCATTCATTCATTTTGTCTCATTTCTATGCCGCCCAACTCCCAAGGGACCATGCCATGCTGCTGTTTCTCTGATGTAGCTCTCAGAATGATATCTGAATAGTTATTTAAGTGACTACAGTTAAAACAAAACAGGGCTTACCATGATATATAAATCCAGCCAGAGATATTTGCTTACATTGACAGTGAATGTTGGGAATCTTTCTTACCTAGCATTTTATATTTTAATAGAGATTCCCAAGAACTCAATATTTTATATACATACATACATACATACATACATACATACATACACACATATACCAAGTTTTCCCCAAAATAAGACATCCCCTGATAAGCCCAATCGGGCTTTTGAGCGCATGGCAATAAGGCATACACACAGACACACACATTATATATATATATATATATGTAGGTCTTTGGTTATTCGGGTCTTCTCCCACGTAAAAGTGGAAGTGTCTTGGCGACGTTTCGACGAAGTCTCATTCGTCATCTTCAGGCTGGTGGAGAATCTGGAAGGAGCTCCTGGAAGCACGAAGCCGAGAACACCAGCCTGAAGATGACGTTTCTTCGTCGAAACGTCGCCAAGACACTTCCAATTTTACGTGGGAGAAGACCCGAATAACCAAAGACCTACATACAAACACCCGCGAAAACCTGAGAAAATATATATATATATATATATATATATATATATATATATATATATATATATATATATTCTCCTCTGAATCATTCTGTCTGCTCTAACATACATACAATACAAACATACATACAAATATAAAATAAATAAATGTACAAGATACTTTTGGGGAGGAAGCACAAAGTCCCAACTGAAGCATGGCAGACAGAGAATAGAAGAAATGTTTGTTCCATCTGCGCTAATTTTAGGAATCTTGGTTAAGAGAGGGCAACAGTGTTTGCCCTAGAGCAGAAGAGACGGCCCACAGATAGGCTACTGTCTCTCCAGAACGCTGCATGCCTTTTCAAGTGTAGATTGGCAGGAGAGAAGCTCAAAAACTCCACAGTGAGCTAAGAAGGCCCTCGTTCAACTCACACCACAACTTTTCATTAGGCAGGCTCAATTGTGGCCCAGCACCATCTATCAAATCAGAATGATGCATACTATCGACAAGATTATATAAGGATCACCATGAGAACATCACAACTTTTTCACAAATCCCCCCCAAGTGCTATATAAATATTTGGCATTATTGTGCTTCCTTATTATTCAACAACAGAGCTCTGCCCAGGCTTGGAAGCAGAGTACACAAAAGAAGGGTGTTCCCCTTCTTCTTGTCACAGATAGGCTGCTCTCTCTCCAAAGCCAGGGCAATCTGGCTCCCATTTCCTTTGACAATTTAATTACTGAGGATACCATTTGCCAGCTACTGATGCAGCCGTCAGGAAGAGGAAGCTAGCCACATTATCCAATTGCTGCAATCTCAACCCCTATGTAAGCTCGCTCTGACAACAAACAAAACAAAGAGCAAAATGCAGGCTTTGCGAAAATAGTTTAAAGTATTAACTGTTCTGCAAGTGGGCATTTCAGACAGTTACGTTCAATTTAATTGGGTACATTTGATTCATATGCTATGCACGTCTATCGCATCCAACTCCAAGTGATTTTCTTCACGGGAATCTGTTGATGGCATGCAATGACACAATCAGGCTTGTCCAGTCCTTACTGATTCATAATGCTTTTCATATACAGGTAGTCCTCGACGTACGACCACAATTGAGCCCAAAGTTTCTGTCGCTAAGTGAGACAATTAAGTGAGTTTTGCCCCATCTTACAACCTTTCTTGCCACAGTTGCTAACTCGGTCACTGCAAGTTGTTAAGTTAGAAACAGGGTTATTAAGTGAACCAGGCTTCCCCATTGACTTTGCTTGTCGGGAGATCACAAAAGAGAACATCGTATAACCCCAGGACACTGCAACCGTCATAAATATGAGTCAGTTGCCGGGCATCTGAATTCTGATCACGTGACCATGGGAGTGCTGCTACGGTTGTTAAGTGTGAAAAAAACGGTCATAAATCTCTTTTTTCAATGCCGCTGTAACCTCGGTCACTAAACGAACTGTTGCAAGCCAAGGACTAGCCATACTTCATCCAAACTCTTTCAGTAAGCTGCAGGAAAGAGACAACCACAAGGGGAAAAGCTTGTCCCCACCTAAACAAAAGGGAAAAAAGAAAGAAATCTCAACAATATTTAACTTGTACTATTAAGCAAGATAAGGACAAAAAGTCAACAAGAGGAATTTCATTGTTCCTGACACTTTTCACATCCTAGCCTGACAAGCTTCACAGAATCAAAGAATCAGTGATAGAAGGCATCTAAACCCAACCCCCTGCTTAAAATGCAAAATCCACTACTGCAATTTTGATAATGAGCATCCGGCCTCCATTTGAAGTTCTCTAGCACAGAAGAACTCACTAAGGTTATAGAGCAGCCTGGTCCACCAGCTAAGAGGTCATACAGTCAGAAAATGTGTTCTGAAGTCTCGACTGAACTTTCTTCTTTGTAGTTTTGACCCGTGGGTTCTGCTTGTGCCCTCTGAGGCCATCGAGAAGAAAGTCTATCTCCTCTTTTTGGATGATCACCCTGCAAATATTTGGAAACTACTATATATCCATCCTCAACTATATTTTCAATAGGCTAACCGTATCATGGCTGCTGACAGGGTTTGGTTTTTTTTATTTTTAGATTCATTCAGGGAGTATAGAGAATCAGGACCAGAACAAAATACACCCAATCCAAATTTAGAAAAAGGAGTCAACAGCTATTGTACAACTTCAATTAATCTTCACATTGGTGTGGAGGTGCAATAAAGAACTAACAGGAAAAGATTACGAAATGCTGGCTCTGCTTCTTATCCGGGGAGGAGAGGAACCTTGAAAAGCTATACCAGATTCAAATAGCGTAACTTCTGAGTTTAAAGTATATTTGATTCAAAACATAAATCCAAAAGGTCTGGTTTCTGTCATAACAGAGATTTATATAAATTCAGCCACCGAACATGCAAGGTACCATCATGCAATTTATTTGGGAGTCAAGGACATTCTTACTTTGATAACAAAATGTATGGTTACCTGTCCATTCCCCTGCCAGCCCAATATTCCACTCTGGCCTTTTCAGCAGCCAATTTTTTTCTCTAAACTGGCAGGAGGGGGTTGTAGCAAACCTACAATTGCTACACTTCTAACTCTCTGCCCCTCAGTGGCTTAAGCTTTCAAAACAGCAACACCCTTTGAGGAATGCCATACTGTAGGATTTACAAACCGATATGCAACACTGAAATAGGAAAACGTTTTGCAAGGGTTGGCAAAACTTAATTTACTTTTTTCTAAGACATTTCGTGGAACCTGATATTAAAAAGCAGTGACTTTATGGGCAGTGCCAGCCCATTGCAAATGTTCACAAGACATGTAAACAATTTAAATTAAGGTAACAATATGCAATGCCCCTCACTACGACTGCAGGAAGCGATTATTTCACCCATTGAGCTAAAACATTCTGTAGACTGGTTTTGACTTAGTGCAGAATTTGAATCCAATCTGGTGATTTATTTAACAAGTTACAATTACATAAACTATGGCTTTGTGCAAAATGTGTGAAGCCAGTGATAGTAGCACATATAGGATACTAACGCCATAATGCAGGATTTGCAACTAATAAATTTAAGTCAAAACTAAACACCTTATGAGTTAATGAAATGTGTGAATCCAATTAGCTATCTTCTGCTTCTGGGGTATTTTCAGTACTTTCTGCATTTTATGGTTAATAGGAGGGTGCTATAATATGGTTTGTTTTAGTAAAAAATGCAGCTAGTAAACCATTGCTTAATGCAGTATGGTTCATCTGAACAGTAATTATGTTCAATAATAATTAAGATAATCCAGAACAATTACATGAACTCAAAGTCTCTTTACCATATGTTTATGAGATTATTGATCTTGTCCTTTTGTGTCCAAGACATTCCCATCAATTTTAAAGCAGGAATTATCATCACCCACCTATCTATCTCCTGGAAAATTCAGAACATCTTTGTATAATTTCTTAAACTGAATATCCTAAGTACAACCTGGGACATATACCTTTGTCATCCCCTGAATGTGCAAATACAAAGTTAAGAAAATCAAATACCTAGTAGATCGCCAGTAATAATAGGACGAACACTTCCTAACAGATTCAATTTATCTTGATGGCAATGAACTGTTTTGGGGGTTGTGCTCCCATGCAAAAAGTGCCCCCAATCTGTGGTGAGAAGGCACTCTGGATAGTCTGTGGGTCAGCCACCAGGAAGGAGGCAGCAACTATATCACAAATTGCTTTAGAGAACTGTATGCAGTTTACCCGGCCCTGTTTCAAACAGAGAATTAAAGTTGAACCTAATTTGAAATTATATACAGATCAGCAGTTAAAGGTGGTTTTTCTTTTTAAGAAACTAGGGGCAAAAATGTCAGACTCTCACGGTCAAACATTATCATAGCCTTCATTTTAGCACCTTATTTTGGAATAAGCCAAGTTGAATTCATGGTTCTTACTCCGAAATATACATTTGTACTGGTTGTCCTGCATTATTCTGTTGTTTTCTTAATACATGTCAAATATTGATCCTTAATATTATTACAGCTCACTAGTTGAGGACACACTGAGGGGGTAGGGGGGTTCAAAAAACATATGGACAGTAGGCCATTTTGGATTATTCTCAATTGCTCAAAAATCTCTTTTGCTACAGACATGTCAATTACTATAGCAACCGATTAATATGCATATTTGCGCAGTAGATCTAAATTAGAAAAATTGGATCTACTATCAGTCTGAATATAAATTTATATCTCCATCTAAATATACCATGCAATTAATTTAGATTTGAGATTTACAGATGAATAGAATTCTCTGACATGAATATAGGATATAATAAGGATTTTAGAAGGGTTAATGCAAGTAGTGCTATTTCAATATATAGGTTTATTATGGGCCACATTTGGGCTACAAAAATCTTGCACAGCTTTATTTGCGTGCATAAAGAGGGTGTCTTGATTTTAGTAGATCTATTAGTAGATCTAATAGATCTAAACTAGTACTTAAGTAAGGGTAGGATAATACTTCAATAGGACCAACTTGTAAACAAAAATGCTGATGACTGAATTGAAAGATAAAAGGTCACTCAATACATTTAGGTAATTTGAGAGCCAGTTTGGAATAGTGGTAAAGATGTTGGCCTAAAAAACAGAAGACTCTGAATTCTAGGCCTCCCTTCGTCATGGAAGCCGCTGTGTAACTTTGGGCCAGTCAGTGTGTCTCAAACCAACCCATCTCGTGGGATTTTTGTTGTGGGGAAATATGAATAGATGTTCCCCTCTTGAGTTATATATTTAAAAGGCTAGATAAAAATCTAATAGCACATGTATAAATGGCATGAAGGTTTTTTTTTAGTCAGTTTCTGTAATTTTTAGTCAGTTTCTGTCCGTTTCCTCACAAAGGCTTACAAATTCCAATCAATGTCAAATAATGGATGGCAGACCTTCTAGTTGCTTCCTTCCAGTAAAGTATTTTTGGAAGTCTAAATAGTCAGCACAAGGTACAATTTACCTAATTAGCCTGCAACACAGACATACATCTCATCTCCTCCTACTGAAGTTTCATTTTTTTCCCCAAACAAAAATTGTACAAATCACAGATATTTGCATATCAGAATGTAAAATCTGGTTGGTTACTGTGACTTTTATTATCCCTGTAACGTTCTTTCTTGATGACTGATCTTACCATTCTCATTTCTGAATGTTTTGAGAGCATCTATTAAATAGAATAATGCAATCTATAGATCCAAGGGTAAGCCATTCAGATTACTGAAGCTGAGTAATTTCAGTGAGCCACAGAGAGTGCAACCTCATTCTTTAAGGAAGTAGACAGGACAAGCCATTCTGCCTTTATTTTCTTCAGCTGTGGACAATTCACAAGCATGCTTGCAGAATGTCAAACTCCAGAGTTGGAAACTTGTTAGACTTCTGCCAGATCAGAAAAACAGGATAGTTTAGATAACTTAAACAGCACCTTTCAGATATTTTGTACTACCGGTAAGACAAAGAAGGCCTATGAATGATAGATGGTAGAGAAAATAAAATTGATTAAAAGGAGGGGGGAGATTTCTAACTTAACCATTTTTAGCTCGGCAGAACATAGAAGAGCTGCATCTTCCCCAAGCGGAGCACACAGATTCAGAATGTCTGAATCTTTTCAAACATTTGGGTCAGAGCAGCATATGGAAAACCCATTAGGGTTTTTTTTTATTGTTGTTATTATTTCTTTTTCAGTGTTCCAGCAGTTGGTGAAACTGCAAGATGAACTGGAGAACAACTGCAAGATGAACTGGAAGCCAGAGTATCCAATAATGATTGAAGAGTACAGCTTGAAAAATAATAAAATTCCTGGATTGCTGTTAGGTGTTTTTTTTTCCCCCTCTGCTGATTTTTGGCCTTGTTATCCATAACCTAGCAGGAAAATCAACTAAAGGCCAATAGAGCATCCACCTCATTCCCCTCCCCCAGCTGGGCTCTGTTCTCTCAGAAACAGAAGAGAAGCAAGAAACAAATGCAGCACTTGGACTAACATTGCTTCTCTGTAGAAAACTACCATAGTATCTCTATGTGAGCCTAGCAGAGGAATGATTGGGCACAATTAAAACTACAAGCTCAGAATGGCAATTGGGATGTGTCTCCAGACACACCAAAAAGCCCGTCTTTAAAAAACCACACACACACTAATATCAAATGAAACCCAAGAGGGGTAAATGCCAGAAACGAAAAGATGTGGGGGGAAAAGGAGTCACCCCAGAAGCCATTCCTCGACTGCACCAGCCACGAGATCATCCTACAAGTCATCTAAAAAACGGCAATGTGGGTTTGTTTGTTTGATTGATTTTTGGAGACCCTTACATCGGGCGAGACTCTCTCTGCAGCTGGAGAAAACAGATGTTAATAGGAAGAAAAAGGGAAAAAAAAGAGAGAAGAGTGGGAGAGGTCAGCGACTAGTTTACACGTTTCGCCATTTGGGCGTAATTACAGCAGCAAGAGAGGGAGGGAGGGAAGGAAGGAAGGAAGGAAGGAGGGGGGAAAAGTTAGAATCTTCCGATCTTCTCTTCTAGAAAGCGGAGAAGAAGTGCCATGGCAACTTCGAGGCGATCTACCCTCAGGACAGCGAGAGCCAAAATACTACTTGCGAAGAAACCCAAGGGAGCGAAGAAAGCAAGGAGCCAGGGAGGACGAGGGGCTGGGGGGAGAGAGGGAGGGAGACAGAGAGAGAAACTCGGATGCCCCCGCCCCAGGCGTCGCTGCCTCGCACCCCCACCCCTCCCTTCAGGCGAAGAGCCGGCCCTGAGCGTTCTAGAACGCGACCGCCCCTCCTCCCCCCCCCCACCCCCCAAACAGATGGAACGTTGCAACAGAGGAAGGTGCGAGGCGAGGAGGAAATCAAGTTTGTAGCTGCAGCAGATACTGCAGTGGCGGGGCGCATCCGCCGCAATGAGAAGCCGCCGGGCTTCGGTGACACAAAAAACGCCGGTAGGCCCCAAAGCCGGCTGACGAAGCATTTGCTCCTCTCTCCCCACCACTGAGTCAGCCATCCCTCTTTTTCTCCCCCCACCCCACCCCCAGTGATAGAAGCCGCTCCCTTCTGTGCCAACTGACCGATCACCTCCTGCAGTTCATAGGCGTCCCGGCAAATGGGCCAGCCGGCGGCTTGAGGTGCGGGAGTAGGAGCCGGGGGCGGTGCAGCCGGCGCCGGCTGAGGTTGCTGGACGTGAACGGGCGACTCGCTCTGCTCCGCCATGATGCTGCTGGAGCTCGCTCACCAGCGGCGACCTTCTTCAAACTTCCAGCCAGCAGCACCTTTAACCCTCATCTGCAGCTCGCTCCCTCCCTCCCTCTCTCCCATCCTTCCTGCCAGCCAGCCAGCCAGCCACACGGCGAGGGAGGGAGCGCACCGAGGGGGCGGAGGCTTGAAGCTGCACGCCGGAGAAGCAGAAGTTGCCAAGCGGAATGAGAATTAGCAGCTGATCGACATGACGATCCGAAAGCCTGATTACAAGAGCGAAATCACGCCAAGGAGGGCGGCCAACGAGCGCGCTCTGCAAGCTTGATTAACGGCGGCAGAGAAAATTCTTGCACCGGATCCTCCGTAACGTATTTTAGTGGAAGGAAAGCCCGGTGAATTCAATAGGATTTTACTCTGAAGCCAGCGGTGCAACTTGATTTTGTAGTCCGCCCCCTAGAACATTTGCACGGTTTACTTCCGAGTCAACACTGATAAGATGGATCTGAGAGAGAAGGCATCGGGTATATCTTTTTTGGAAGAAGGAGGGCAACATGCGCTCCAAAAGTTAAACGAATCTTTTCCTGCCGTTAGGAATAATACGCAATACGGTATTGCTAACTTTCATTCAGGCTCAATAGCTGGAGCTAAAGCGCCGAGGGGTATTGCTAACTTTCTTAAAGGACGCCAAAGTCTGGGTTTGCAAAACTCCAGACGGTCGCTAGAGGGCAGAGAGGAGAAATGTTTTTTCTGCTACTATCGAGTCGTCCTTCGAAAGCTTTGTAGCCCGTATCTGGTAACCGGAACCAAGTCGGGCAAGAGATGTGTTTGCAGCGTTTGTGATGTAATTAGATATTGAGAAAGGAGCAGCAAATGGCCCTACGGTACTTCAAGCATTAAAAGTTTTCAATTTATCCCAGAAGTTCTCTGCCGGACAGAGTGTTTTATGAATAGTTTTTTTTTTTAATTCGTGATTTTAAAAAAAGTACATTGTATGCAAGAAATTTTGTAGAAACTGTTTTTATAACAGCAAAAGTCTTACTTGCAAAGTGGCTGAGCAAAACTCGTTTTATTTTAAGTTTCTTTTTTTTTTTTTGCAAGGTATCGCATTCCCTTACGGAGAAACTCAAGAAAAACTAAACATTGTGAAGAACTGTACTGTACAGCCTCTTGGCTAATTAGAAATGATTTCTAGACTTCCAGTGAAAAATATCTGAAGTTATTAGGTTGCTTAGCCCTGTTCTAGAACACTATAGCATTCCACTTTCTTGAAACAGACACCTGAAAGAAAGCACTATAGTTTCTTTTTATCGTCAACTATTTTAGCTTTTAAAATGGCTGGCTTGAACTAAATTCATTAATATTACCGTAAAAGAAAAGCATTTTTCTCCTAAGTTCCCAAGGACACAGTTCATCTGAAGATCAGGGTTATCTTCCTCTAGGTCCGTGATGGTAAACACATGGCACACGTGCCGGAAGTGGCACCCAGAGCCATCTCTCTGGGTTGCTATTCCAGGTTCTGGCGTGCCGGCCAGCTGGCCTTCACGTGCGTGGGCGCGCCAGATACCAGAAGAGTAGCTGCCCAGTGCGCATGCGCACATCAGGAAGATGATCTTCCAGTTTCTGGTGCATGCATGTGCACTGGCCAGATGGTCTTTGCTCGCGCATGTGCACCAGAAACCACACAGCTGGTCAGTGTGCATGCGTGTGCCAGAAACCGGAAGATGTGCACCGGGCAGCTGTTGTTCTGGTATTTGGCACAAGCACGTCCCTCCCCCCTCCCGTTTCGGCCCTCAGTGCTGAAAAGATTCGCCAACATTTTGGCCTTTAGTGAGCTTTGATCTTTTTACTCTTGTTTAATCCCTTGACTACCTCTCAATGCTTTGCTTATATTATTCACATCCCAACCTGGTGCTATTTTCCAGGTTTGTTGGACTTCAGAGAGGCTTTGGGCATGGAAATTCAATATATTTAGGGTTGAATGGTTGGAGAAGTGGAAAACATAGCAAAATGTCCTGTAATGCAGCAAACATTATGACAAGTTTATGAGTCGTCATGTCATGGTCCAGATGTGTTTCCGAACATACGCAAGTAACAGTTCTTCACTGTTAACATAATGATCACATAATTTTTCTAGATGAAAGTATACATGTCCTATACACTTGAATCTTAGCACTTTTAAACCCGTGACTTCCACACATTGGTGTACTATCAAGAGTCGCTTGACAGTGAGATGGGTGGCATATAAATTTAATAATAATAAACAGCTGTTCTAGCAGCACAGCTAGCAGCAAGATGCACTGGGAGTTGCTATTTAGTGATAACTTAATTTCTAGGTGAAGAATGGAGGTGAAGCCAGAGTTATCTCAATAGCTCTTTATTTATTTCTGCCTGAAAGGCAATTTAAAAAATTCCCTAGCTGACATAGTTCCTTTTATAGTGAACTAATCAGCCAACATCCAATCAGGAGAGAGCATTTCCCCATTCCAACATAACCAGGATAAAACCTTCATTAGCAATTCTCTCCAATACATAACAATAACAATTTTAAACTGTTTGGGGGGGAGGGGAAACACCTATTTTTTGTGATACGCTTATAGAACAAAGTAGTAAACTATTGATAGAAGCAAAATACCCATAACTGATGACCATCCTCTTCAGACTAGCTTTATTCATAAAAATTCTTCAAGTAATAATCCAGACAATTTGGGGTTTATAGTGATTCTTGCAATCTATTTTCTGGTCCACCTGATTCTTTTTTCTTGTAATAAACAAAATTGAAAACAAAACTGATGTGCTACTGAGCAAAGCTACAGCATCTAATATCAGATTTACCTGCAGAAAAACTTCTAAGTGGTAGAGATCAACTTAAGGATGTTTTCATATTCTGATGAATGACTATTTTGTCATTAGCCATACCCAGCAGGGTAGCCATTTTTTAGGGCAGCCATTTTGTGAGAGTACCTATCTACCTCAAAATTTCATCCCCAACCCAAAGCATTTTCTGCCTCTGTAGGAACTTGGTGTAGGTTGTACATGTGTTCTTGTAATCCAGTTACATACTAAAAGAGCCCAGTAATAGTATATTCCAGATACGTGCTGTTTCCAGGAGTACAGGAAAAGCTTGTCTGTGCATGTGGGTTACCCTGGAGATTACATGAGTACTTAACTGCATAGTTTAGGCATAGATATGCATGGCTGGATTTAGCTAAATGGGAGATGGGAGGTGTCACGATGGACAAGAGCAAGAAGTTCACCCTCAACTTCATACTGGATTCTAAGAACGCTTTCCTCGTAGATCTTATTTTTGAAACAAAGTTCTACAGTGCAATCCTAAACATATTTTTTTTATAAATAATGCCATACCAAAAATCTGGCCAACATATTTATAGACAAATAGTACAGAAAAGATTTAATTCAGCTGTTTTGATTTTTTTTCTTTTTTTAAAAAAAGATTTTGATCAAAAAAAGCAAAAGCTTTACAGAGGAGAATTTTATTTAATAACAGATTCTCTGTCTCGCTATTGCTGTGGCCTTAACTTAAACAATGAAACAGTGTAATCTTATGCTTAACGTCAACTTGCCTATTTACTTTTTCATATTACCCTGGCAGGTATGATTTATTCTCATGAAGGAACTAGCTTTCTGTTTAAACAGGATGTTCTCTCTTTTGTGTTGCGCTATGCTGTTTTATAAGGTGACATAGTTAGTGGTATGAATGTATAAATATATTTTCTGTTTCCCCCCTCGGATGCTAATATACATTCTCCATTCTGTAGTGCTTGGAAACCATAGTTTTAATAACCTAAAACTAGTTGGGATATAATCTTTGTTTCCCTTTTCCAGTTACAGGAGCATGCAGTGATGAATGTCAAAAGTTAGACTTCCCTGTTGAACAAAATTCTCATCAGCTGTAATTTCTTAAGTCTAAATAATAGCTGTATAGTATACCTTCCCAGCAATTACTGTGTTAATATTATCATCAATAAGGGACAATTTTAAAAATCCTCATTTCACCTAAACTTTGAAAGCTGGAAGAATGTTTTGTTCTAAGATTTAAATCTCTCTTTGGTTCAGATGTTGGCAGTCCACCTTAATTAAGTTCTACTTTCATTCATTCGTTTATTTAAAATGAAACCTAAGTCAGGTTTGGAAAGATGTTTAACTTTGCTTATTACTTGACAGGGTAAATCTTCTTTGAAGGTTATGTCAAAATAACTCTGGACACTGCCTAGGGATCATGAGACTCCGGAGCAACACAAAGACACAGAAGAGAACAAATGATAATAGAATCTTTGTTCCTAATAAAAGAGACAAAGTGCAAGGAAAACTAGGTGCTAACAGTGGGGACAGCTTTAAGCATGGGGGGAGGAAGTCAAGTCTAAGCAGAAATTCTTCGAACGTACTACATTTTTTATATACTTTTCATAAGAGGAAGTAGAAGCGCACCAATATTGAAGGTTTTGATAATTTTTCTTTTCTTGGTACTTTAGTTTCTATGTAGATGCACTGCAGCTGCATGTAGTCCAACAGCACCAGATTTGTTTGAGTTTTTTTAAAAATCTGATTTACAAATTGAACTTCTGTAATTCACATTTTATTTTTTAAGTGTATCTTATTTAAGGAACCACCCTTGGCTAGATTCACACAACACGCAAGGCCATAAATTATCATTTACAAACTGTTGATTGGATTTACACATCATATTTAGCCCAAACCAAATAAATCACAGGATGGCTTATAGCACAGAGAGCAAAACCTACCAATGATATAAGCCAAATCTGAATAACTTAAAAGTATACAGTGAAATGAATAAAATGACATAGCTTTTTTGGGGGGAAGGGAAACTTTCCTGTTCCATCTGTTAGGATTCCTGATATTATCTTCCACACTGAAACCTGCAAAAAAAAAAATTATATATATAAATTTATAATTTATAAAATTTATTTTGTTTTATCCACAGGAGTAAAATACAAAATAGAAAACAAAAAAATACAACACTAACAACAATTTTATACACAAATTTGTGTACGAAAAAAATGACCCAAATGTCAAATAAATCTGACATTAAATATAATCCATCCCAGCTGGATGCTGAAAAGAAAATTTTTAAAAAACTGATGGATTCTTCTCCCCTTACATAACAGGTTACAAATATTTATAAACTTTCCCATCCCTGCTTAATAGAAATACTATATTAAATAAACAAATATTCCATATGGGGAAGTCTTTAACAAGCAAATCCGCCGAACATCTAATCGTATGTATGTGAAAAATAGGAAGAAAAAAAACAGTCAACAGGTTAGCCCAAATGTTACACTAACCTTCAAATCCCTCTGTTAAACATCTGTTATTGTATTTAACATGTAGAAAATCCACAAACAGCTTCCAGTCTCTTATAAAGTTACCCAGAACTCTGCAGGTTTATTCTGAGAAAATATATCCAGAATTGTGTTTTTAAGTCTGAACGTATTAGTCTGCTCTACCTTATTTATGTAATCTATATCTCTTCTTTATTGGCAGGGAAGGAAGAGATTCTGATGCAATATTATGAGAAATTTGTACTAATAAAACATGCCCTATATTTTGTCAGGCAACTGTAATTTCCCCCACTTTATTTGCTATAGTCAAGTATTAAGATTTTGTGCTGCTTGGCTTATATTCAAATAAGTAAGCTTTATAAGTTTTTCAAATGATATATCTTCTTCAGATTCAACCACTGCAAAAAGAAAGGGAGTCTATTTGATTGCTTTTCATTTGATCGCTTATATATTAATCTCCTTTTATAAATTAATGGAGCAAAATAGCGAGCAATTAAAGAATGATATGTGAACGGCTATTAGGAGAAAAGAGAATGCATTTTATGTTCAAATCTCAGCCACCGTGCACTGAGCATCCTATAACAAATGGATTCTGTCTGGAAATGGGAAAAAGGGGGGGGGATATTACTATATGCAATTAGAGCTAGAAAATCTTTACTTGGAGCGGAGATGGCACAGTGGTTAGAATGTAGTATTGCAGGCTAATGCAGCTCACTGCCAGGAGTTCGATCGTCACCAGCTCCATCTTTCCGAGGTCAGTAAAATGGGTCCGTAAACCACTTCAAGAGTGCTGTAAAGCACTATGAAGCAGTATATAAGTGTAGGTGCTATTGCTACTACAAAGTAACATCTCAGCAAGCCGCATCTAGACCATGTTTCTGGAATAACTTGCATTAATATATTTTTTCCAAGTTTCAGCAATATTTGATATCGTTATCTTCTGTCCATTTGCAAGAACTGTCTTATTTATTTCAGCTGGAAAAACAACACTGGTTTCGTTTGACAGTGAAGGAGGCATTCTTGCAGGTCCATTTTTGAAGGAGGCATCCTTGCCAATGGTCCATTTTTGAAGATAGGGGCAGTAGATGTCCAGTTGCATTAGAGGTTCCAAATCAGAGGGATGGAAAACAATTGTTCCTCGGACTAATTTCAAATGATTTTAAAAGCTTTTGGGGAAAGATCAATGCAGATCTCTAGTAAAAATTCTCAGGTTCTTCTGTGCATCATGATATTTTAATAGAAAGAAGCAGATATTGGAAAAGTATCAGAAACACTGAGATCTCTACAATTTTTAGATTGAGCAATGTCAAAAAGGAAAAGCCCTTGCATCAAGATGGAGAACCACAATAAGACTTGTTCTGGTTAAAATAGGAATGCATACTCCCCCACAAAGAATAGGTAAAGGTTCCCCTGCAGATGCGTGCTAGTCATTTCGGCTCTAGGGGCGGTGCTCATCTCTGTTTCTAAACTGAAGAGCCAGCGCAGTTTGAAGATATCTCCGTGTTCATGTGACCAGCATGACTAAATGCTGAAGGCACACAGAGCGCTGTTACCTTCCCACCAAAGTGGTCCCTATTTTTCTACTTGGATTTTTTACGTGCTTTTGAACTGCTAGGTTGGCAGAAGCTGGGACAAGTAACACGAGCTCACTCCATTACGTGGCGCTAGGGATTCAAACCGCTAGGGATTCGAACCACAAAGAATAATCCACCCTATATTGATCACCTGAGCTGTGAGGACCTAAAAGTGTAGAAGAAAAGGAGCAGATAGACTTGAAAACAGTAAAGACACTAGAAATAAGATAACCTGGCCTTGGGTATCCACCAAACAATCAGCAGATATCAGGATTGTCCTATGATATATATGGACATAGGAACCTCCAGTGAAGAAGCAAGTGAAAAAAGGAAACAAAAAACCTCAACCAAGCCAAAGGAAGTGTCTAATTCTGAATCTTCCTACCAGAGCAGAAATGGGATGGACAAACGGAATTAGAGTCTCCTCAAATGGACATTTCTTCTCAAGGAGACTAAGACATACTACTATTGGTCCTTCCTCTGAAGGTGAAAATTGATCCATATCTTTCACATGGTACTTTTGACCTGTTTTGTAAGGGACATCTGCAGAATCCTTCACCATAATAATTAAGTAAGCTAGCCACATGTATTTATTTGATCTTTATAGGCACCCATGTCATCAAGTCAGTCTGGGAAAAATACATCATAAAACATAAAAACAAATTAAAAACAACACAAAATATATATGGTCACCAAGTAGAACTATTTCCATGGATGCTTAATATAGGTAGTCCTCAACTTACAGCTATAATTGCAACTGGAATCTCAATTGTTGAGCAGAAAAGCAAGATGTCACATGACTTCTTTGCTCAATGACCACAATTCTGGCACTCCTACTTGCAGTTGTTAAGCAATCTTGAAGGTCGTTAAGAAGATGGAGCCCCAGGTAAGTTGAGCAGGATTCCTCAGGAATGCAGGCAACCCAGGGAAGCTATATTCAGGAGCTAAAAATACTCCCTGCTGCAATTCAAACAGGATTTTCAGCCCTTGAATGAAGAGACAACAATGCATGTCCTGCACCAGGCCTCACATATATGCCTGAGGCAATGTCTTGTGATGCCTAGAAATGCTTTACAGGACATAAAGCACCCTTTCTGATGCCATTGTACCATTTTTAAACAAACATAAGTAGAGGACCACCTGTTCAGCCAAGAAATGGGGTCCTTAACACACTCAGATCCCCAGGCCCGAGCACACAATCAAATTTTCACCATCTTAAGAAAGGCCAACAGTGTGAGTATTGTTCTGATCTCTGAAGGAACACTGTTCTGGAGGGAGTAATTATGGTAGAGAAAACACATCTCCAGGTTCATACTAGCCAACTTTCCTTGGCTGAAAGGACCCATAATATTCCCAACCTCTTAGAGGGGTTCCTTAGGTCAGAGTTCACCAACCCTTCTGGGTTGGCAGTAGTGGTGGGATTCAATTTTTTTAACAACCGGTTCTGTGGGCATGGCTTAGTTGGGGGTGTGGCTTGGTGGTCATGTGACTGGATGGGTGTGGCTATGTACATAGGGACTACTCGGAGGGCTGAAAAAAGTCATTTCTGACTGGTCCTCGCACTTATGACCATCCTCACATTTATGCCCGTTGCAGCATTCTTAACCGTGTCAGTCATTTCACCACTACTTCTCTTCACCACAGTGACAAGCTAGGGGATAAAACGTAAAATGTGAGGACAGTTGTAAGTTCAAGGACTGGTCAAAAGTGCGAGGACCGGTCAAAAATAACTTTTTCAGCCTTCTGACTAGTCCATATGCACATAGGGACTATTCAGAGGGCTGAAAAAAGTCATTTCTGATTGGTCCTCACATTTTTGACCGGTCCTCGCACTTATGACCTTCCTCACATTTATGCCTATTGCGGCATTCTTAACAACTGTGTCAGTCATTTCACCACTACTTGTCTTCACCACGGTGACAAGATAGGGCGCAAAACGTAAAATGTGAGGACAGTCGTAAGTTTGAGGACTGGTCAAAAGTGCGAGGACCAGTCAAAAATAACTTTTTCAGCCCTCTGAGTAGTCCATATGCACAAAAGGACTACCCAGAGGGCTGAAAAAAGTGATTTCTGACAGGTCTTCGCACTTTTGACCGGTCCTCACCTTTATGACTGGTCATCATTTATGCCCATTGTAGCATTCTTAACAACCGTGTCACTCATTTCACAACTGCTTCTCTTCACCATGGTGACAAGATAGGGCGAAAAACGTAAAATGTGAGGACAGTCATAAGTTCAAGGACTGGTCAAAAGTGTGAGGACCAGTCAAAAATAACTTTTTCAGCCCTCTGAGTAATCCATATGCACAAAAGGATACAGCAATAGAGAGGGATGAAGGAAAGAGAAGAGAGATGGAAGAAAGAAGGAGATAGAGGGAAGGAAGAGAAGGGAGGAAGGAAGGGAAATTAGAGTAGGAGTGAGGGTAAGAGAGAGAGGAAGAGAGGACAGAAGGAGAAAGGAAGAGGAAGTAGGGAGGAGAAGAAGCGGGGGGGGGAAAGAAAGTAAGAAGGAAAGAAAAGAGAGGTGGTAGGTTTGAGGAGAAAGATTGCTGTACAGTAAAAAAGATGAAATGGAAGAATGGCAACCCCAAACAAATATAAAGATATTAAGATAAAGAATGAATTGATAAACTTTAAAGAATAAAAGAGAACAAATATGAATAAATAGCAATAATTAGAAACACACATACAAACATACAATGTATTTTCTTTGAACAGAGTATTTGGCCGGTTCACAAATTTAAACAGTGTTTAGTCATTTCAATTAAATTTACAATTTCTATATTTCCTGTTTGCCATATTTATTCCTTATCTATTTTTTAAAAAAAAAAACAATATTACCCTTCATCCTCATCTCTAATCTTAATCAAATTCAATTTTTCCCTTCTATATTATACTCCTTCCCATTGTCATCTATTTTTATATCCATCCTCACATTGGTTAATTATGTAATATTACAGTTGTTTAATATAAATTCAACATTTTAATATAAATCAATTAGTTATATAACTATCTTTTTTGTATATTAATCAATATGAACATGAATATTCCAATTATTTCCATGCAATCCAATTTCTTACAAATCAATTAATTATATTTACTACTAATAATAAACCAAATAATTTCCCCCATATATTCCTCCAAACCACAACTTAAACCATTTCTGCTTTCAACACAATATGCAATTAATAGTATCTCAATTATTACAATTCCCTAGTTAAATAGAGCTTTTATTCTTTTGTGTTTTAAAATCTTAAACGCTCCTCTTTTTCCCTAAATTTCCTATTGTTTGCACCTACCTTTTTTGGTGAGGAAAAAGAAAAGAAATCTGCCTGCCTAATTTTCCAACGTTGCAGCAACAGCAAAGCCAACAGCCTGCTTTACTTTCAGTTTCACTTTTCAGGATAGCTAGGGGAAAAAAAATCTTCTCCAGCACTCTTTGCAAGCAAGCAGCAGAGCCCTGAGCAAAACAGCTGAGAACAAATCAGCTGAGAGTCGGGAGGCCGATCTAATCAAGGGGCTAATTAGCCTATGCTGAAGTTCCATGGGCCAATAAAATTACAAAAAAACACCAAACCATTTGTTAAATTGCTGGCTCGCCCGCCCCTCGCCCACCACTATTTATTGGCAGTAAATAGTGGTGCGGAGAGGCGGGGCAAGGAGCGGGGCAAGACAGCAATTTAACAAACGGTTTTGCCGAACCGCCCAGAACCGGCAGAATCCCACCACTGGTTGGCAGCCCAGAGGGGGAAAGCGGCAGGCACGTTTACATATGCACGTACAAATGGGGCTGTGAGTGGCCGCATGATGCTAGTGGCGACTCTAGCACCTGTGCAATGCTTATGTGTGTGAGGTGTGCACACATACTGGCGAGTCATTCACGCAGCCTGGTGCCCAACAGGCCATAGCCCAGTTGTGGGCCGCAGCCCATAGGTTGGGGACCCCTGCCTTAGGTAACCCAGCCATAAGCCATGAAGAATTTTAAAGATAGCCAACACCGTGAATTGCACCCCAAAGCAAATTGACAGCCAATGCAGCTCATACAGCAGTAGTGTTACGTGTGTCCAATATTCAACACCCTTTACTACCCATACCATTGCATTCTTCCTCAGTTGAAGTTTCTAAATGCTCAAGATCAGCCCAATGTAAAATGTGTTTTAGTAATCCAGACAAGAGGGCATGATTGATTATGAACAAAGCTTCTCTGCTCCAGAAATGGACACAACTGATGCATAACTCTAAGGGGTACAAAACTCTTCTTTTACCTATTCCTCTAGCAGGAACTGTAAATCCAAGATAAGCCCCAGATTGTGCATTGGGTCCATCTGGGGAAGTGGCACCCCATCCCGGACTAGCAGGAGAAAAACCTTGTCACTAGAAAACCCAAATATCCAAATATCTCTGTCTGTTGAGTCATTGTACCCTTTACAGCCTCCAGGCACTGGGTTAGGACATCCATGGCATTGCTCAGGCAGCCCAAGGTGAAAATTTAAGCTGGTCATATCAGTATGTTGGTGATACCTTACCTAAACCATCAGATCACCTCACCTAGCAGCTTCATATAGATATTAAATAGGAGAGCTGACAAGAACTGAGCCCCAAGGTAGGGGCTGCGGACTGGATCTCTTCCTCCCCATCAACACCAACTGGAAGCAACCCTGGAAGAAAGAGGAGAACTAGCAAGACCCAATGCCACCCACCTCCAACTCCCGAAGCCACTCCCGTACCTAGCCAAATGGTTCATGTGACTATAAATTGATACTATCAATAAAGGTAGTCCTTTATTGCAATTGAGCCTGACATTTCTGTTGCTAAGTGAGACAGTGATTAAGTGAATTTTGCCTCATTTTATGATCTTTCTTGGCACAATTGTTAAGTGAACCATTGCAGTCGTTAAGTTAATAACACTGTTGTTAAGTTCTTCTGGCTTCCACATAGACTTGGCTTGTCAGAAGGTCAAAAAAGGTGATCACATGCAACCATCATACATATGAATCAGTTGCCAGACAGCTAAATTTTGATGATGTGACCATGGGGATACTGCTATGGTTGTGTGAAAAAAAGGCATGTTACTTTTTTCAGTGCTATTGTAACTTTGAATAGTTCACTAAATCAACTGTTGTAAGTCAAGGACGTGGCAAATCCTGTCTAAATTTGAAATCATTATGTCATATTGAGCAGATTTTAACAACATACTTTGTAACATCACTTTCACATCCTTTCCATTCTGACTTATTTTCCCTGTAGGTTTCTCTTAGACCAACAGTCCCCAACCTTTCCAGTTTGGTGACCCAGCCCGCAAAGAGGGTGGGAGACGCGTGTGAGTGGCTGGCGCATGCTTACCTGCAAAGCTCCATTTATGAGAGCAGCACACATGCGTGCCCTCTGCTTGCACGAATGGAGGGCACTTGAGTGGAGGGCGCTTGTGCTCACACAAGAAGTTCTACTCATATGAGCGGAGGGCACTCGTGCGAAGCTCCATTCACGCGAATGGAACTTTGTGCATGAGTGCCTTCTGCTCACACCAGTGGAGCTTTGCATGTGTGCACACACTTACCCACCACTTGCATGAGTAGAGCATCACACGTGCATGCTTGCCCATTTCTCCCGCAGCCCAGTTTCGAACAGGCCGCAGCCCAGTATTGGAGACCCACTGTCTTAGACCATAAACAGGCAGGGCAAGCAAAATGTGAAAGGTGCCTGCTGGTCCACTCTTAATAATGGTCATACAACACATTTAAATTCATAGTTGGAAAAAAAAAACAATTCCACTGATTGACAAAGAAGACATGTTAGCTGTTTTATTAAAATAATTAAGATTTTATATAAATAAATGCAAGTGACAAGGAGAAAATTCTTAAAATGTCACAATAGGAGGGTTTTTTTTAAAAAAAGGTATTTTCTGATTTGTTGGTTGTTCTTCCATTAATAAAGTACACAAAAGCATCTCGTGGATTTGAGTCTAGAAGACAAATATTTATCTGATTGAAGGTGACTTACAAGGTAGACATCTTAATTCCTGGGTCTGAACTAGCATGGCTCCCAAAGCCCTCTAGTGGCTATCAACAAAACATAATTTTTCAATGATCTTAAAACTTTTTCATTCTCTTTTATGCATAGTGAATATTGTAAATCTATTTTTTTTTCTATTTTAAGCATTCTGCATCATTCTCCTGGGAGAAATATCTTCTATGTAGAAACATCATAAGAGAGGTAGGCATATGAGAGACATTTTATTTTATACAAATCAATTCTGTTTAAAGGACCAACATTTTACTTAACAATTCTTTAATAATTCACTAGGCCTACATAACCCTCAGCAGTAACTTTTCCCCCCTTTGGACTGTGTTAAGGCAGCTGTTCTCTGAAGCATGTTAAGTCAGTAAGCCAGCAGTTTAATACCAACATTTAA